TTGAAGAGACAAGAGTTGAAATTGTATCCATTCCACGGTTGCCAGTTTGGGGTTATTGACTTGGACGGGAATCCCATGAAAAAGGGTTGGATGATTGCAACAAACATGGAAGAGTTGTCAAGTCTATCAGAATACGTTTGTGATGGTTCCCACACTCATGGTCAAAGCCGGGGTACTGCACTGAAGCTTGCAGAGAACTACACATTCAAGTTGACTGACTTCATCCATGATTGTTTTCGTTCCAGAGCTAACCAGGCACAAACCGCCAAGAACAGGAAAAGGTTAGCTTTGCCCGCCATGAGCCGCCGTTCTGATGATTCAAATTTGTCGATCGCTGACAAGATGAACGTGCGGGCTCTCAAGTCGGCCGGTTTAAAGACCGTGCCCCAACAGAGCAACATGTCGGAGTGGCTTGCTTTTCGGAAGTGCCTTGATGTTCAGGGGGATAGGCACGCAGGGTGGGAGGACATCTTTTCCACGGTCCTCGCTTCGTCAACCATCCTGGCACAGGGCAACAGAACAGAAGACCTTGAGTTGGCCGCAGGATTCATGCAGTGTTTTACTGCGCAGTCAATGTCAACTGACGCCCTGACGAACGTGCCGTGGGCAAAGGAGATCCGCCATCTGTCCGAGTTGGAACATGACTCACTGTGGGATCTGAGCTTGCCTACTGAGTACGTCCCTGGGACATCAAGGCCGGCGGTAGACGTCGTGCCCACCATCTATGTGGTGACTTCTGATTCAACTTTGGCTCTGATCACTGGAAAGGGTAAGACTTTGAAGAAGTACACCTTGAAGGAGGATCTGGGATTGCGAAAGTCAGACATGGTTCTCGAAATCGGTCATGACATGCTCTGGGGTAAGGATTTGCAACAGCTCTGCAAAGCAAATGTTTCCATGATCAAGGAGCTGATGGCGAAATATTCTTCTCATGGATCAGCCATCAGGGTTATTTCGGTAATCGTTTGGTCTGGGAATGAAATTTGTGGGGAATATGGTGTTGAACCCCTTCCCATTTGGGGGCAGAGGGAACCACAGGGCGACTGGAATGCCATCATGGACAGGGTCAAAGGCAACATCGTTTGGTGGAACAATCAGCTCAAGGAGTTGGGAGTGGATCAGGCCGCCCTAATCGGCGAGCCCGACCCGCTCACTTATGGATTGAGTCTCATCTTCACGACGTTTATTGATCGTCTGAAGGAATGGTTCCACAAGGAGATTGCCAGTGACAACGATCGGATTCGGTGGATCAAGAATGACATGCTCCCACCGAGGCTTGAGCTCAGGGACTACTTTCACGCGTTCGAGACCGAGCTCAACCGAAGTGAAATGATCGGATATGTCATGGCAACTCTCCACATGTTGCACATGACGGACATTTTGATCCCTCAGTACAACCTGTCTTTGTACAAGCGCAGGCGCCCTGCAGGTGAAGCTACAATGCGTGATGTCACACCGAAGATGGAGCACCTCCCAGTCAGGTTTGTGCAGGTTCTGAATTCTCTCCGGGAGAAGGTGAACAAGCCTGCACCGAGCGTCTCGACCCCAGAAAGCTTCACAGCAGAAGAGTTGAGAGCTCGCCCGACTGATGCTGGTGTCGCCGAAGATGATGATGAAGAAGGCGACCCATGGGATGCTCTGGATCCCGATGAGCACGAGGGCCCATCTGTTGGCAAAGCCAAGGCAAGCCACGCAGCTCCGCCTGACCCCAAGGCGAAACCTCAGACGACGCAGGAGGATTCAACTCAGGCCACCTCAGCTGGTGAGCCCCTGCAAGAAAACGAGATCAAGGGTACCATCATTCCGAAACACGCACTTGGGCACCTTGACAAATATCGTATCACATTGGACGAAAACATAAATGCAGAAGTAGTTGAACATTGCGTCGTTGATTCCCATCCCTACGAATTGATCGTCAAAACCTGTTGGGAGATGGATGGGGCAAAAGAGCTGAGGTTCCCAGATCGCATGGACCGACACAAGACTAAGGTCAATGCAGTGACACGTGGACAGCCGGGTCAGGACACCTCTGGATTTGATGAAAACATGTGGCTTGACCTTGATGACTTCTTTCGAATGTTCAACCAAATGCTGCCAGCCAAGTTGCCCCGAATGACAGTTGAAGAGCTTATCTCATTGCTCTACTGGGACAGCAAGTGCCGTTTTGAGTTCCAGTGCATTGCCGGGTACCAGAAGGCAACCCGTAAAGGGTTAGCCTACTGGCCCATCAGGATCCGTGCAGTGCAGGGGCATACGAAACGTGCCATGAATGCCGCTTCAGCTGAGGACACGTTCAATGCAGTGGAAATCTATGCTCTGTCTGGAGCAGCAGCGATCCAGAAAATGAACGCCAAAGGTAAAAAGATTACCACTCCTCAGATGTGCCCTGGCGTAGTTTATCACAGGACTACAAAAGGCAATTGGAAGGGCATCATTGAGAATGGCTTCGTGGCTGGAGGAGGAGAACGAAATTCATCAGGCAGAGCTCACTCCTATTTTAGCGATGTTCGAGTCGATGAGAACGAGTATGTGAGCGGGTTGCGTGCTGAAAGACCCATTGAAATCAGGGTAGCAATGGCTGAAGCTGTCAAAGCTGGCATTGTGTTTTTCAGGACGGCCTCTGACGGCATTTTGACAAGTGATGTCGTACCGCCTCAATACATTATCTCTGTCGATGACACTGCCAAGAAGGTGAATTTGTATCGTCGCCAGCAGGAGGTTGCACAGTCTGCAGCGAGCAGTGGGGGAGAAGTTGGAGTCCAGCAGCTTGTCGAGACCTTTGAGGCCAAGGCATCAAAACGGACTGGTTCCACGCCTCCGGCCGCCTCAACTGGCGCGCCCACTGCAACAGCATTTTTCCCAGGGAAGGTGAAGCCTCCGCCACCAAATGTGGCCCAACTTGCCGGTATGCCTGGATATGCAAGCAGCAGATTGTTGCCCCCTCCTCCGAAGGGTGAAGCTCCAAAGCCTCCTGCAGCAAAGGTTGAAGGCCCAAAGACACCGCCAAAGGCGCCTCCAAAACCATCACCGAAGGAAGGGACTTCTGCACCTCATGCACCAGAAGTTCCAAAAGCTGTGACCTCAGAAGTTGATGCAGCAGCAAAGGATGAACCTGCAAAGAAGAAGGCAGCCCTGACAAGCGTGCCCGCAGCTGTGCCTGCGGCATCATCAGCTGCGGCCTTCTTGGAGCCTGTTCCAAAAGTTGCACCACCAAAGGCAGTGCAGAAAGATCCAAAAGCTCCAGTTGCAGAGTCACCCAAAAAGACGCCAGCATCAACATCAAAGTCACTCGTGCCAAAGCAGAAGTCTCGCCCTAAAGGCGATGACCAACCTTCGAAGAAAGAGGTGAAGAAGGAGGACAAGAAGCCGGTGCCGGTCAAGATTGAAGTCACGCAATGTTCAAGATGTTTTGCACAGACTTTCAAGGGACAGATTGAATGCGATGTGTGTGGATTGATGCTCGAAGGGGTGAACAAGGCCGACCGAACCAAGATTGCAGAACGAAGGAAGGCCGCCCTTCACAAGCTGGGCTTGTACTATGATTTTCGTGGTGAGTACCTGCAGAGCATCACACATGGTCAGCTTGAATCTTTGGGTTTGTTGGACGACCAGGCAAGGGGAAGCTCAAGTCCGGAAGCCGGTTTGTTGGCAAGGGCGAAGAGTCGTTTCGACCGTGCCTTGAGCTTAGGCTATGTGTCTGTGGCTGACAGGTTTGCCCAGGACGCCACATTCGCAGAGAGCGTGCTGAACGAGGGGGAGAACGAGTACGATTGTGAAAGGTACGACCTCCTCAAGTCTGCACATTTGCCAAAGCCGGGTCGCACCAAAGCTCAGGTCAAGATGGGTGTTTCTGAGCAATCTCAGCTGGAGCACAATGCGATGAGGCTGGTTTACTTGGATTTGGCAAGCCGTCTTGATGTCCCGAAATCATTCAGGTACATTGACCAACCATGGTTCTACATGTACCGTACGGAAATCTACTCAGAAGAAGAGTACATTGACTACCTCAACCGGAATCCTGGACACAATCTTTTGTTGTCTTGTACTGGTGTTGACAATATTGCCGTTCATGATGCAGAACGTCATTTGAGGTGGATTAAGGGACAAAATGAGGAGCTGTACAAGCAGAACGCAGCAGAGAAGAAGAAGCAGTCTGACAGGGCCCGCGAACAGAACGAGGCCAAGCGCAAAGCTGAGCAAACTGGTGCGTACGGCCAGGGTCCCTCCAAGAAAGGCACCGCCAAACCGGTTGCCCGACCATCCACCGTAGAGGTAGCTTCATCATCAACGTCTGCAAGTCAGTGGATCAACCGCCCTCAGCAAAGTCAATCCCACGATGATCGCCGTTACACTGGAGAATGGCAGAAGTGGCATGGACGCTGGTATGAGAAAGTCATCAGGCATGGCCGAGTTGAGTGGGAAGAGGGATAAGTTGTGACACTACTTGCATTGACGATCGGTTTTTGTATAATAGCCGCTGTTTGGGTTTCCTCGGGTCGTGCAAAAGAGCCAGGAGCGGTAAGGCAGGTCTTAAAGACCTCGCCCTGGTAAATGGGCAGCCTTGCCGTGACCGGCTCACCTGAGGGGGGTGTAATTGCACTCCACCATAAAACCCATGTATTATAGCATGCATTACAGCTGTTGCGGCTCAGTAAAAGGTGCTGCGGTCGCAGATGCTTAGCGGATTCTAGGTTTATCAGTCTATTTGGGATTATAACTATAACCCCTGCTGAAACCTGAAAATACAATTTGTTTGATTTTGTTTGCCAGATTTTGCCAGTATGCTTTGATAATCTTTGATACAAACATATGCCACGAATAATTATTCGCCAGTGACGGAAGTGTTTTCACCCAGGGGTTCACCGCCACAGTAATGTCAAACCAGCAACTGTCTTTCCGTGTTGATTTTCTCAAGACAAGCACTTTGATCTTTTTAAGAAAGTGAGCTGGTAGCCAGTGAATGTCCGAAGCCTTTTGAAAGTGATGAGAGATATGAGAGGCCGGTAGTGTTTCCATGTTGCGCACAGCATGGAGTGCACAAAGGGCTCCGGTGCAGAGCCCATGGAAAATATGTTCTGGTTCTGCTAGCACGGAGTGCACGATGGAGATCCCACACCGATTGCGCCGACTGCACCGTGCAGGGAATCTGGTGATGCTCGTAGCACTCGTCGCTCACTGCGGAGCTGCCACGTCACCATGGCCGATCAGCGCAGGAGATGCATCGACTCTTCGTCAAGTCGTTTTGGTTCATCGCCACGGAGCCCGTTTTCCAACAAAGCCGACAGGGAAGGCAGATATCGCATGGCCCATCCGAACGCAGTTTTGGGAGAGCTACAAAGGACATCTCACCCCTGTGGGATGTTCACAATTACAGGACACAATTTCGTTGACATATGTAGACATATGTCGACAATTGACAAAATATGACAGAATCCGTCAGAAACAATTTTTGAAAGTGAAAGAAAGTGAAATCCGGTCACAAAATGTCAATTGTTTGCGTTTCTTTGCAAGTTTTGTCTAAGTCCAACTCTCGAAGGACATTGGAAGTGCGCTTCGTCAACGATACATTCATGACGGACTTGAGTCACTTGAGACACAAGCGTTTGACAACGGGAAATTGTTTCATGGTGTGGACAAGGTTGATGGTACGACATTGGCTGTCTACACTTCAAACGTTCAACGCACTTTGCAGAGTGCATGGTCGTTTCTGCTTGGTTTTGTTCCACGGGCAGCCGTGTTTTTTGCGTTTCGTTCAGAGCGGGTCTTCTCGGACACGGCCCGGCGAGCTGCTGGAGTTCCCATTTACATCGAAGATGCTGTGCGATCTGACGATCGATTGTTTCACGAGTGGCGGCTTGATGAGAACTACGAGACTTGGAGAAAAGGTAACATCAGACAATCAAAGCGTCTACTGCACTTGGTTTCACAATCGAATTATCAGGAGCTGTTGGATAAACTCTTTGAGTGCACCAGGGAAGAGCATCTCTCTCCGTCGCACAGTATGATGGACAGGCTGATTGCAGCAAAGGACTTGGACACCCAAGTTGCCATTGAAGAAGCACACAATCGTCCAGTCCTTGTCAACGAAAACGGGATCCTGCTGAACAAGGCAGAGAGGGAAATGCTGCAAGAGATTGGCAACGAGGTCAAGCGCCGTTGGTACGGAGCTGCCACTTGCTTGCAAACCCTGCAACATCTGCCTGTGCTTACATATCTTACATGATCAGAATCATAAATATGCTATGCCTTCCTTTTTGATCATTTTTGATCATGGTTGCATGTTGAAGTTGGAAGCACCACGAGCTGGCGAAATAGAGTTTCCAGATGTTTCCAGGCTTCGCAAAACACGGCAAGAAAATGACACGCATGCACATATCACAGATGCACCAAAGTGGCACGGGGGTCGCATTTGCCCCTACCTCATGTGGGGTCGCATTTGCCCCTACTCAAGGTGGAGGTAGGGGCGAATCTTTTCCAGCTCAGATAGTCAGTCATTTTATGTCATTTTCACATGTTACGTGTAGAATCCATTTCAATCAACTTCCCAGACGCTCTGGATGCTATGTTGTAACATCCAATTTGAAGTCAGCTCCAAGACGCTCTGGATGCTATGTAGTAAGATCCATGTCAAACAACTCCAAGACGCTGTGGATGCTACGTTGTAACATCCATCTCAATTAACTTCCCAGACGCTCTGGATGCTACGTTGTAACATCCATTTGAAACCAGTTCCAAGACGCTCTGGATGCTGCGTTGTAACACCCACTCGAAGTCACTTCCAAGACGCTCTGGATGTTAAGTTGCAGCATCCAGTTTAATCAACTTCCAAGACGCTCTGGATGTTAAGTTGCAACATCCAGTTTAATCAACCTCCAAGACGCTCTGGATGCTACCTTGTAACATCCACATCAATCAACTTCCCGGACGCGCTGGATGCTACGTTGCAACATCCAATTTGAAATCAGTTCCAAGACGCTCTGGCTGCTGCGTTGTAACATCCTTTTCAATTAACTCCAAGACGCTGTGGATGCTACGTGGTAACATCCATTCCAATCAACTCCAAGACGCTGTGGATGCTACGTTGTAACATCTATTTCAATCAACTTCCCAGACGCTCTGGAGGGTACGTTGTAGCATCCATTCAATCAACTTCCCAGACGCTCTGGATGCTATGTTGTAACATCCTTTTGAAGCAAGCCTAAGACGCTCTAGATTCTATGTGGCACGATTTATTTCAAGCAACTCCAAGACGGTGTGGATGCTAGGTTGTAACATCCATCTCAATGAACTTCCCAGACGCTCTGGAAGTCAGTCCCAAGACTTTACAGTTTGTACACCATGTGACATGTTCACTTTAATTCACATCATCCACTCCGACTGTTGACCACACGTGTTGATTGCTTTTTAGCTTAGATCCAGGGCCCCCAAATACCGGGGATCGCTACCTCACCCCCTAAACCAAAGTCCCCAAGTCCCCCCCCCAAGCAATGTCCCCAAGTCCCCCCTAAATGTCCCGTGTGCCCACGTCAAACGCTAAAAGATGCTAAAAGGTTTTCTGAATGACGTATTCAATCGTGAGGCAAGTGACATAACCAATGTCCCCAAGTCCCCCTCTAAGCAATGTCCCCAAGTCCCACCTAAATGTCCCGTGTCCCCAGGTCAAACCCTAAAAGGTTGAATGACACATTCAATGGACAGGATAGTGGGGTAGGGGCGAATGTGACCCCTTGGGTAGGGGCGAATGTGACCCCCGTCCCCATCAAAGTTCACCAAGAGCAAACAAGGGTTGGGCTTGCCTGTTTGCCACCAAACAGTTGTAACAACTTGGCCAAGGCTTCAGGTTTACGACGAGAGTCATATGGGCAGAAAGGAGCTGGGTATTTGGCGCACAAAATCTGGCGACACATGCAGCAACGTGCAGAAGGGAAATCAAATCTTCGATTTGTACAGATGTCCTGCCACGAGACTCGGCAGGGTTTACTGTTCAGTGGGTTTGAATAGTAGTGTGAAGACTTTGAGAAAGGCAATTGAAAATGGACTGACCGGTTCGTCAATACGAAGGCTCCAAGTCTCTGAATGTTTACTCATTTTTTCTCATAATGTTTCTCATACATCTTTGAAGTCCTGCTCTTTGAGAGGGCGGTTGCTACAGCAAAGCGGACCAGGGGACAAAGGCATCCGAACTACGAACAAACCTAAGGTGCACGCCATGCCATGAGTCCGTCAAAAGTCTAGCTGTTAGAAATAATGGATGGCAATTGTTCTTCTCGGGTCTTCCAGTCAAATGGTGTTATTGTTTCTTCAATTATCTTAGTTTTACTGTTAATGAATCATTTTCCTGCAGATAGTCACAAGCCGAAGAGCCTTTGTGGCCTGATTTGTGACTGACTTCTTGAGTTGCTTTGGGAATCGGGAATAATTAGAAATTCATCGACTCAAATAGACTCGAATGAATAGAGAAGTTGTTTTAGATTACAGAAGTTGTTGCACTTGTCTGCGTTTGTCCTGTCGATTTGTCAAGGACACCACATTAGCAGCCTTGGCAACCCACCTGGGCTTGGAGCTGCCAACTATCGGCTTTGGGGCCTTCCTGGCCTTTGAGTTGCATCAAGACAACGACAACGGAGAGAACGAGTTTGTGGTGAAAACTTTTTACAATTCCAATCCCACAAAAGGAACATCATCCTATGCACTCAAGTCCTTGGTCTTGCCACTGGGTGAAGAACGCCTAGTAAACGTCAAGGATTGTGCTTCAGGTGCTGTGACTTTGCCCGAATTCTCGGCGCATTGTGAAATCCCAGGTGTCGAGGAAACCTTCCAATCCTTTTTGAGTTTGTGCAGTATTTCGAGTACGAGACCGACGCGAGGAGCACTGAGGGACCTCTTTGAAAAGGGAACCTCCGGAACAGGACTCAAGTGGATAAGCCTGAAGAAGTGGCGTGAGAGATACTCGTCAGCATTTCAATGCTTTGACTCAGACAACGATGGAAAGCTGAGCTGCAATGAAGTCCAAAGTGCTTTGGCTGAATGGGGCTACAGCACTTCCCGGGAAACCTTAGAAACTCTTTTTCGATTGCTTGATGCAGATCCAGAAAGCGGCGAGTTTGATGAAGAAGATCTTCATCTTACAATGTCCGCATTGGTTGGAATTCGAGGAGGCTTGCATGGCCAAAGTGTCCAGCTTGAGTCGCAATGACTCAATGGCTCCTTCATGCGCCTTCTATGTCCTTCTTGACTTCGTGCAACCGTGATGCACATAGATTCTACATAGATGTTCAAATGTGCAGATGTGATCTGCAGAGAGATGTAGGAAACAGTGCTAATGATTCTCGTCAATTAAGGGCAGCACAGGTGATTGTGTTGCATGGGTTCCTCCCGGCTTCAGATGCTGCCTATGAGAACAAAGTTTTCTCGGTTGGTGCTGTTTGTCACCTTGGCGTGGTGCGGCTTCTGAAGGAGTTTGCCGGCCAGGACATTGAACGCCAGAACACTTGGTGGCGCAATCGCTCCAGCTGGTATGAGGAGTTCCCACGAGTTCCCACCGCTTTGGGAAGGACGTGCTACCAGTAGTGTCAGGTATCGTCATATCTTCAAGATGCTGGCGGGACAAAGAGCCATTGCAGCTTTCCCGGTTTTTCCAACATTGCTAGCAACCGACTGTGCTTAATCAGAACAGCTGAATGTCGGACGTAGGTCGCACGCAAGAGTTGCTCATAGTCTATCCAATTTGATTCAGCTGGCCCTTGACATACACGATGAACAACTTTCAACATGAGAGATTAAAAAGGCCTTAAGGCAAGACCATGGAAAACCATGGAAAACCAAGTAGAGCAGCAAACCGGACTTAAAGCAGTCTTGTGGAATTTAGGTTGTACTGCGCATAATTTGCTTTGTCAACTAGCGGCTAGCAATGAGGAATAGCAGGTGAAGCGTTGTGACTCAGTTGGTCATTTGAGGTTGACATTCACATACCGCCAAGTTGATGCCAAAAGATGCAGAAGGCCCATCCAAGGATCACCATGAAATTCATGAAATCCATGAATCAAAAGGCCCATCTCAGTGTTTTCATTTTAATTTTAGACATTGCGACTAAGTCTTGACTAGATTCAACTTGTCGAAGTGTTCCTTGCCATGCTCTCCACCAGCTGCCGGAAGAGGCCTCGCGTACTGAAAGACAAGCCAAGGACGGTCTCAAAGCCGCAGCGTCTTTTGGCCGTGGCAAGATGTTGTAGAGACTGTGGTCTTCGATTGTCTGCCTTAGAAGACGCACTACATCAGTGCAGCAAAGCCTTTGATTGGCCTTTTCCAGCTGAAACTATTTGTAGCGCATCTGCTTCTTCTGGACAATGCCGTTTGGTGCGGCTTGGTGCCAACACTTTGCGTGGGACCACGCTGAGCCGTTTAGCTGAGCTGTGGGAGACGATTCGAGAAACCGATTTGTCCCATTCATTGGACTTGCCCAGTGGAGAACGATTGGCCAATGGAAGTGCTTGGCTCTTGATGGCATTGAAAGGTCGGGAAGTTCTGGGACTTCTGAGTGCTGAGCGGATTGCGGGGACTTCATCAGCTTGCCTCGATTCTTCTGGATCTGGGATGAAGCAGAAGTCTGAGACAGATGCCAGCAAGGTCCATGCGAAAGTCCAAACACATTCTAGGATTCTAGGAGATCATTTATCCGTTTCTGATACTTTCTGCAATATAGAAATAGCCGGCTTGGCCATGGTGCACTCACGCCATCTTTCGCCTTCCGTTGAATCACGTTGTTTGCCAGGCAGACATTGGACAAAGGACCAAGCCGACATTGGGCGTGGCGGTGGTTTGGGTCCGTCGTCGCGAACGCCGGCGTGGCCTTGCGACATCACTGGTGGACTGCAGGAGGGCCCAGATCATCGTGAGATATTGTTAGTCGCGTGAGTCGGTCACGATGAGGGATTTGTCTCAAGAGGTTTTCAGCTTTCCAAGGAATTGGTGCGCAGATGAAAGTAGGACCAGAAATTCCGAACATGTTCTGGGCTGTGAATCATGATAAACATCGATAAACACTGTAGGTATCAAACTTGCCTCACAAGATCTGTCTGCGTCATGCCTTTGGATGCCTTTGGCAACTTCCGGCCTTGGTTGAATGTGAATGCGTGACGTCTACGGCATGCTGGGTCCAGTCTCAGAAACAGAAATCGCCAGTTTTGCCGCAGCAAAAGTGGAGCCTTAGGACCTGTAGGAGTTGAAAAGGATAATTGTTGGAGCAAGACTGAGCAAGACACCCGATCAACAGGGCTAACAAGGTAGTGAAGTATGCTAGAGTATGTTCCAAGTGTATATACCTGAGAGATCTGAGAGGATGTTTGTTCTGTTTTGTTTCCCCTCAAGTCTCTTTTCCCATCTTTTCCCATCTCTTCCCTACCTCTTTCTATTTCTTTCTCCATTTTCTTTGTGAATTCTTCGTATCGGCCTTGCCTGAGGCTTGCGGCGCCTCAACGGAGGAGGCTCGGTGGCCTTTTCACAGCCCACAGAGCTGGGCTTCAACTTCGCCTCGAGCTATTCCTGCAGGTGGCGGACATGGTCACATATTGTCACAACATCTTACAATGATTCGATTGAACGCGCAATGGCGGAAATTTTCACCCCAGCCACTCAGCCACTCTGGCAGAGTGACTGAGTGGCTGAGTGGCTCCTCCAGCCACTCTGGCAGAGTGGCTGAGTGGCTGAGTGGCTGCTCCAGCCACTCTGGGCAGAGTGGCTGAGTGGCTGCTCCAGCTACTCTGGCAGAGTGGCTGAGTGGCTGAGTGGCTGCTCCAGCCACTCTGGCAGAGTGGCTGAGTGGCTCCTCCAGCCACTCTGGCAGAGCGGCTGAGTGGCTGAGTGGCTGCGGCAGAGTCATCAGCCAATGAAATGGATAAAGTTTTTAATTTTTAAATATTTCAATATCCAAGCAAGATTATATGACATTGACTGACAGCAACTTGATTTACAAACATAACCCTGTAAACTTCAACTGCCATAGCTACATAACTTTCAACGTATTGATCAAGAACAGCCACATATACACTTTAAACCATAACCTGAAATCACTTAAAAGGAAAGAGTGTGTTGATGAACTCTACACGTTCAGGATTGGAAACAACTATTGCATCAACAACAGAGAAGAACCTCTTAAATACAAAATGATTGATGGTATCGATGATGTGAGAAGTTTAAAGGATGAAGAGGAATACAGATTAGTTTTATTTTAAAAGGCAATGATTTGAACAAGCAATTTATGAAATGAAAAGAGCAGGATATGAACCACAGGTTAGGCACACAGCAGGTAGGGCAGTAGAAATCAAGTTTGATTTAACACACAAGATAGTCAAGAAACAGAAAGCGGTAACCTACAGCATTGTAACACAGCACCGTGACCATGATAGAATCAATGATGATATTTTGGTGGAAACAGAGGAATAATACAACAAAGTCAGCGCGACAATGTTCAAGTCTCATGAGTCAATTTTCAGTGAAAATCATAAGTCATACTATAACGAAACTGACCTTAAAGCATTGGATGAATGCAGATCCATTGTTCCTAATGGAAGGTTGTTAAAGGCAAAAAACTATGATAGCAAGGGCTATGAACTTGTCCTTGCCCCGGAAGATATGTGTAGCATCGACACACGGAAAGCCTACTCATACCAAGCAACAAAGATTACACACATTCCAGTGTTCAAAGATCTTGATGTATGGAAGCCATACACCAAAAAAGATGATTATAACAAATTCAATAACTACACCTTGTTCATAGTGAGTGTCAGGGCAACATTTGTTTTTTAACAAAAAATAATCATTATGGGAAGCACCTGAAGGAATTGATGAAGAGAGGGGTAGCAATGAAGATACTATTTTACAAAGTACATTCATACATTCACAGAGGTGAAGAATAAGAAAGCGGTTGAAAATTTATATAAAACAGTGATTAGTGATGACAAGTTTGAGAATCAAACAATCTTGAAAACTATTGCTAATGTAGCCTTTGGTTTGCTTGAGAAGTCTTACAATAGAAAAACTGTCAGTAGGATTTTTGATAATCTTAAGGAGGCATTACAGCACCAGAAAAAATATGATGGGAGGATTTACGCAATGAATGAAGAAGAGTATGAGGAATATCTTAGATGGAGAGAATTAGAAGAAGATTGGACTATCGAAGTTGATTCATGAGAACAACAAACCTTTTTTTAGACATGTGAATGGCGGTGCGTGTTTTACAGATTTTGATTATAACGTCGAGGATGGCAAAACCTACTACTGTGAAAATGATTCATTCAACCAAAAGATAGAGAAGAATAGCGAGACCGCCAAATATTATATAGTCAGTGTCAGTGACCAAAGGCAGTATGATGCATATGAGAAGTTGAAGGAGGCAAACATCAATGTTTACGCTGTAAAGACTGATGCCTTTCACATAGCAAAGATGGAATTAAAGAAAACTAAAAAGGTATTGAATTTTCATAATGACATAGGAGGCTGAAGAGTGGAAGACAAGAAAGTTGTTCCTGTTCCCGAAGTCTATGGATGGAAACACAATGAGATTCCAAACATACCGATTTACAAAAGCGAAAGGATTGAGGTTCAAGATGAATGGGACACAGACGCAATAAAAAAACACAGCAATAAGGAAGAAGAGAGTCATGATTAGGGCAAAAATTGCAGGAAGTGGTAAGAGTTTCATTGGAAAACATTTCAACGACCTAAGTTATAATACACTTTTTGTTGTTCCTCAAAATATGCAAAAGCAAGATGTTCCATGCGATGCAGTCACCCAAAATACATTCTTCAGTGTTCCTGTGTGTAAGGGGGAAAGCAGGCTACCAAAGTATGATTACAACGGTTATGATGTATTTTTTTGATGAAATCTATATGTCAAGTCCTTATATCTTGAATAAGATAAGAGTCTTCTGCAATGAACACCCTCATTTGATTGTAATAGGTGCAGGTGATGTCAAACAACTTCCAAGCATAGAGCCCTTCACCAACAACCAAAATGGAGAGGAGTATGTTGACAATTGCATTGACATAATGTTCAAATCCATTATATTTTTGCAGATACACAAAGGAGTAGGAGGCAAAGATACAGAAGAGGGAAAGGAATAGAAAAAAGTTATATAAATGAAATCAATGATGATTTTTGGGAAACAAGATTTGGATGATTTTTTTATGATATAAGGAAATACACTTAAAAGGATACCTTATAATAGTATGGAGAGTAGAAAGTGCACAAAGTGTAAGAAAGATAAAAATGGTGACGAATTCAATGGAATGAATAGAATGTGTATTGAATGCTTGGACAAACAAAAGGAGAGTAACACAGTATATTGCAATCAAAAGGAAGTATTTTGCGACATTTGCCAGCGGAATGTGAAACAATGCAGGTTGTCCAAACATGTTAAAACCGACAGGCATATCAACAAGGAAAAACTCAAAAAGGAAGAAGAGAAAAAACAAAAAGAGATGGAGGAATACTTGAAAGATGATGAAACCAAAATTGCAACATTGAAACAAATCTGGAACACCATTACAATTATTTTATGATATTATATTATGATAACATATTATGATGAAATTTATGATGAAATATTTTGATGAAATTTTATGATTTGAATTTATGTGATGATGGATGATGATGAAATGATGTGGGATGATGATGTATGAAATGATCGAGTTTTATGTTGTGTTGATACTGTGATGAAATGATATGAAATGTTGTGAACATGAACTGTGGTAAATGATGAAATGATGGAGGTGGATGGTATGAACTTAGGTGCGTTTGTGTCTAGCCATGTATATATATACACATATATAATCTTTAATATCGTACATATATGAAAACATTGGAACTATAACCAAATGTCTCATTCCTTTCACCACGATGATCCGCAGAGACATCCGCAGAGACCCACAGAGCGAACCCCTTTAACACAAATGGCTAATGACTTCTTTCTCAAAACCCTTTAACACAGATGTTTGCATAAAATTCCATTCAATCCATAAGAATTATGCCCCAGTGCCTACAAGATAAAGGAAAAAAAAACCTAAATTAGCATAAAACCTCACTTGAAAAACTACCCAGACCTAAGAAAAATTAGGTCTGGGTAACACTGCTTACACTCCATTGGCTAAGCTGCACTAGCCACTCTGCCGCAGCCACTCAGCCACTCAGCCGCTCTGCCAGAGTGGCTGAGTGGCTGAGTGGCTGGTCCAGCCACTCTGGCAGAGTGGCTGAGTGGCTGCTTCGATTTCGCGAGCCGTGTTGCACATCCACTCAATGATTCAACAGTTTGGCGTGTCAAAGTGAATTCATTTAAGTTTAACTCATTTGTTCACTTCCCTTTTGCCAAAATTCTTTCAAAGTCTTCAAAGTCCTTCCAACATTTTCTTGACTAGCGACTTTAGCATGCATCTCCAACGGATTGTCGGGCTTATGCGCAATCCTGACAGGCAACACACAGGGCCGCTCGTGTATGATCCTGATTGGAGTGATGAGTCCAAGTGATCGAAGTTGGAGTGAGCTTCCGGGGTTCAACGGGTTCAATGGGTCCAACTGCAACGTCGAAAGTTGCCTCGCAAAGAGGCATGATGAGGCAGTTGATTAGTTTCTTTTACAGGGGTTGTTTGAGTTGGGGAAATCCACGTGACAATCATGCACGTGTTCGAAGTCAAGATATCTCATGAACCCAAGCTGGAGGGCTCATGAATGGCAGAAAAAATATTTCACAATGCATGATGCAGGCGCTTTCTGAGATGTTATTGAAATCGGATTTCTTGATTTCATGCTGCTTGGCATCAAATCAGCAGATGCAATGCAGCATGGCATCTCAATTAATATCAGATCATGTACACACACTACACATCAGATATCAACTACTTGTAGATATCAGATATATTGACAGATTTTATTTCATGTCATGTATACAGCAATATCAAACAGATTTTATACATTTTTTAAACTATATATTTTATAATATTTTATACTACTTGCATGACTAAAAAAAACATCATGTCATCTGCACGGCGTACGGCGTATGGGCTCTCAGCGGGCCGGGTATGCTGCCCACCGCTAGGGGCGCACCCCGGAGGTGCCTGGAGTGAAGCATGATGCGTTACGATGTAGAAACGAGAAAACGATACCAAAAGATACCAAAATTATATTGATGCATAAACTGCATAAACTGATATTTGATATATTTTGATATTATACATGTTATATAGTATATTATATATATATAACATGTATGATTTCAGTAAGGAATCGGAACAAATAGACAATAATTTGGCATGACAAGTAGGAGCAATTGTGGAGGACATTTGTTTGCACTGCCCCCTAGGCAATTCTTTGCGTTTTCATTATACCTCTCATTGACATGGATTTGGCAGTGGATTTGGCAGCTTTGGTGTGTAAAGCCTCAGCAAAATGCACTCCTCATCTACCGCATGATACACATGAAATCAGAACATGCCTCTTACAGCGAGTACAGCCGGAGAATGTCAGCCAATAGCTGGCACACTTGCCAGGTATGCGATGTTGCAATGTAGTTTTGCTGCTGCTGCCGACACTGATATGTGGACGCAAGCTGACAGATAGCAGAGTCTTCCTGGAGAAGGAGATTAATTGTTGAGTATTTTGTCCTGCATTTCATTCATATTTCTCGCAAGATGATATGCAAATGCACATGGAATCGTGTCCGAAGACGTGATGGTAGATGTGGATTGAGTGGCAGTCTGTGGCCTTGATGCTGTTTGACTTGGTGTCATAGGAAGCGCCATCCTTTGCCGAATTTCGCTTGAAGCTCAAGGCAACTCTGACCCAAAGTCATGGTTGGCCACTGTGCTCAAGTCATGCACTGACGTAGAGTAGCAGGCTATGTTCGTCCAATTCATGCAATTGCAGTTCAATATGTTCAATGATCTTCAAAGAATGTATGTGTCGTGATTTTGGGGGTTAGTTTGCGCCAATTTACAATACTTACACTGACACATATCCAGGCTGTGCTGCAACACTGATGCTCCAGGGCTTTTCAGCATTCACGGTAGTGTTCAAAACGGGTTGGGATTGGTAATCGCCTGTGGTAGATTGGTGCAGCTCATTGCAAGATTGCAGATTGTCTCTGGAATACAAGCTTGTTCCCTCGCAAATGGCGTTGGAAATAAATCAAACTGGGCCTATCAGTGTGTGCTTGTGAATTTGATGCTGTGGAGGCTAAGGGTTTTGTTGACCCTCTCACTACCATTGCAGAAGTTGGCACTGTTCGTGTACTTGACAACACTGGGAAGTGCGTGAACTGTGCCTTGGAGCAAAAGGACCGAAAGAGGAGCTCATGACGTTGCAAGAATAGCAAGGGAAGGTGACGGGAAGGTGATATCAGTTGAAGTTGCTTTGCTCTGAAGGGGCAATGTCCTTGCACTGTCGAACTTGACATGATGCCTGACTTGACTTGAAGTGTCAACATGATCAATGCATGTTAAGGCTGCGCGATTTGTTGACTTGCCTTGATTATCTTCGATTCAGGTGCCAATGTCGAACACAACTGCACTACCTTGAACGATGTTTTGAGCCAGGAGCGTATCGTACTGAATCATATACTCAGGAGACTTGTAGCTAGCACTGGTCCGGGGCAGCATAGGGAGCTATCCGAGCCAGCCCAGTGCTTTGTGGATCTTTGTGGAACTTGATTTTCTTTGGCTTTCGGCGATGCCAGCGATCTGCCGGACTTGAGACAGCCCCGTTTGAGGAAACAGGACCAGAAAAAGCATGCACTGGTACCATGAAGCCGGGGCAGAAGTTCAGCAGCGGCCCTACATGGTTTCAGCACGACAGAAGTCTTACAAGTCTTACACCCACGACATTTGCTTGAAACATCTTGAAACCCAGGTTGGAAAGTCTCCAACAAGGAGTACGATCTAATGATGACTCTGCCTGCCCGTGATTTAGGCTTGGAGTAGTCCATGTCTCCATGTATCTCCATGTTTTCTTGTCTCAGAAGGCATTCTGACGCTTTCTTTACAAAGTCTGCAGTCCAAGGATTGCCGGCCATTTCAAGACACTTCCACTGTATGAACTCCTTCTGATTCGCGTCATTCTTGCCTCGTGTCTGGTTTGTGGCGCCACATAGCCTTGCAGCGCCTTGCAGGTGTCGCATTGGACTTTGAGGTCCAAATCGCCTCTGCTGTAGATGTCTCAGGCCGGGAACCTCAGGAAGCGGCAAACTCACTTTGGTGTGGACAGAGCTCCAAGCTGGCAATGACGATGACATGAATACTATGGAATGCTCATGAATCAACAATGCTGCCATGGCAGAGCCAAAGATTGAGTCGGAATCTTGCCGATGACATCGTAGCGAACATGGTAAACAGAAGACGTAAAAAGAGTTCGCCTTGGGAATCGTGCCGGTGTATTGACAATTTCATCCTCCTGTCAAACGTGCAAGGTCACAATAGCGAAGAGCTCACAGGAAGGCCGGAAGCATCAAGTCCGGAGAAGGGATGAACATGAAATCCAGCGAGTCGCCCTTCAAAGTTGATGATTTCCTAATATTTCCTATGTGTAGTTACATGATGTTACATGTAGTTACAGTGTAGGAGTTGTTCAAAGGCTTTTGTCTTTTCTGTCAATGCGGTTCGAGCTGCTCAATAGACGGACCACCTGATCCGCCCTGGAAGAGAATGGAAATATGTAACGTAGGGATTAGTAGCATAATCCATCATAATCCATCTAAATCCTGAAGTTGGGAACTGGCCATGCTTGCTTCTGCCGCATGAGGCAAGTGACTCAGTGGGTGGCATCGGCCTTTCTTGGCAACAGCAAGCACAATGTGTGGTACAAAGTTGCCAGAATCTTAGAATTTATCTTAGTATCTTCTTCCCGGGACCGTGTGCAAATCCAGAATTCCATGTGTGTATTTGAGCTAGAACCAAGATGAACCAAGTATTTGCAGGTGTATTTGCAGCTGAAGGTCGGCCAAAAATGCGCAAGTATTGTATTGCTTTGTAATATTAATATATATATATATATTAATATTATTTAATATTGTGTTTTTTAATGTTCTTTTGGGGACTGAGGGCCTATCTTTGAACGGCGACTTCTCCCGCGGTGTGCAAACGAGTCCAACCAATGTCACGGTGCCTGAAGAGGCTGCCAAGGCATCGGACACCTGTACCATGCTCCGAACGTTGCCCATGGCAGTGGCATTTCCTCACTTTGTGTTCGCTCCATTTTTGAATATTGTTGATATGTTTTGCTCAGCAAACGTGTTGCCAAACTGGAGGAGATCATGAACGGGGTCGATGTCTTAGCGTTGCAATGCGTTGCATGATGTTTCAAGCGCCGAAATTTGCCAGTGCAGAATTCTGCAGATGTTGAGAGCTTGAAAAATGAATACAAGTGCTGCAAGTGACCAGATGGTTCCTGGTCTTGCTGCATCAGGTGTGTACCACGCCAACAGAGACCTCTGAGTATGTCGTGATGGAGAGAGCATTGCGAATGGATATCTTTTCAGTATCAGCCCTTTGCGCACCAGACTGCGCAGGAACTCCAACTGTGGAGAAATGCCGGGCAGATTCTGACCCTTACATCTTGAAAGGCTGCATTCCGGAGGTGTGCACAAGTCCTTCCAGTGATGATCTGGACATGTACAACGCTACTGTAGTGAACCTCGAGCGCCGAGCTTTCAAAGTGCTTTTGCAGTGCAATCCAGAGAAAGCAGCTGGTCTGCCCTCAGTCACGAAATGTCAGAAGCCAAATCAGCCGTTTACCGTTGACGGTTGCTTCCCGACAACCACAACGACAACCAGCACCACTACGACAACTACAACAACCACAACGACCTCAACCACAACGACTTCGACCAGTACAACCACCACTACAAGCACCACAACTTCGACCACAACTACAACATCGACAATTACAACGACCACCACGACAACGACAACCAGTACGAGTACAACAACGACAAGTACGACCACCACCACGACAACCACAACAACAACTACCACAACCAGCACAACGACTACTACTACTACGAGCACAAAAACTAGCACAACGACAACGACTACGACTTTCACAGTCACCACCACATCTACGACTACAACCACCACAGCCAGTACCATCACATCCACCACCACCACTACAACCACCACAACGTCAACTACAACGTTCACGACGACAACAACCACAACTTCGACCATAACGAGCACATCCACAACAACCACTACAACCACTTCAACGATCACCACCACAACAACAAGTACAACCACAAGTACCACAACTTCTACCACCACTATTACGACCACAAGCACAAGTACCACTACGACAACGCAAACAACGACCTCAACAACTACAACCACGAGCACCAGCACTACAACAACGACGACTAGTACCACAACATCCACAACTACGACTACAACAACCACCACCACATCCACAAGCACAACCACCACAACCACAACAACTGTAACCAGTACAAGTACATCTACCACGACAACCACTACCAGCACCGCTACCTCCACAACCACAACAAGCACGTCGACGACCACCACTACTAGCACAATCACCAGTACCACGACAACAACGACTAGCACGACAACATCGACAACGACAAGCACCACAACAACATCTACAACCACAACAACCACAACCACAACTACAATAACAACAACTTCAACAAGTACTACAACCACAACTAGCACGACTACAACAACATCAGCAACCACCACAACTACTACAACTTCCACAACCACCACCACAACCAGCACAAGTACTACTACAACCACAACTACAACCAGCACTACGACCTCAACTACAACAACTACGACAAGTACTAGTACCACTACAACCACAACAACAACCACAACCAGCACCAGCACCACTACGACAACCTCCACAAGCACATTCACCACTACAAGTACAACAACATCTACGACAACCACAAGTACAAGCACCATAACAAGTACGTCAACAACAACCACGACGACCACAACAACCACAACAACCAGCACGACCACCACAACTACGATAACGACAACGACAACGACTACAACTACCTCCACAACTACAACGACCACGTCGACATCAACTACAACCACAACTTCAACATCTACGACCACTACGACGATTACCTCCACATCAACAACCACCACAACGACAACCTCCACATCTACGAGCACCACAACAATCACAACTACCTCTACATCAACAACTACAACAACGAGTACCTCGACGATCACTACAACCACAAGCACCATCACCAGTACTACTACGCAAACAACAACATCAACAACCAGCACTATCACAAGCACACTAACGACAACAAGTACAATTACAACAACCACAACAAGTACAACCACCATGACCAGTACAACAACATCCACTTTTACAACTACCACTTCTACAAGCACTACTACTACAAGCACCACAACAACTACAAGCACTAGCACAACCACAGTCACTACAACCACGACCTCGACAACTCGGCCAGGGCATCAATGCGTATCTGTGAAAGATCCGAAGGGTTCCTGGGATGCATCGGATGCATCGGATGCAGTTTTTGACATTCCTTGACATTTGTTGACCAAATGACACCGGCCGAATCGCCGAAGCTTGCCACAAAGATTGAGTGAGGTGCAATTTGCGGTGCAATTGTCTCTGTATGGTTTCAAGATGTTTCATGCTGCGTCTTTCATATATTCTTGGAATCTTTTGGATGAACTGGCCCCTTTCCAAGGCTATGTCGTCAAAGAGGAGGATTTGTGGAGCACCAGTTTGAAAGTTTCAGAGTCCTGGCTGAATTCACAAGACTACACGACACAGATCGACACAGATGATTTCTGCAAAAATGGCGTGCTTTCACTGTGATTTTGGCTGGTGGTCTTACCTCGTGCGACTGTCTTTGGCATCTACAGAAACACACTCCGTATGATCCCGGACGATGCTGTATGCATATGAATGCTTTCAATGTTGATCAATAATGATATATAATGATCAACATAGATCAATAATAATCAATACAATATGGTGTACAATTAGACAGATAAAATGTGGGTTTTCACACAGTGCACCTGTTTGCTTTGTTGCCTGTATCTCGCTAAGGTTGAATGCGCTGATGGATACCATGGTAAACCCAAAGCAAAGCCTTGTTTCGATGAATCGGAGCCTTACGCGACTAGGCAAAAAAAGAAAACGAACTACGCGAACATGCAAGGCCTTGCATTTCTTATTTCAATACTGCACTGAATACCTTTGAAATGAAGAGCAAGGAACGGACTAAAGTCCCTGCTTAGCTTTTGATCAGATCAGATTCCTTATTCCCCATGTTATTGCGCAGCCTGAAAACAAGCATGGAATACTCTCAATCGTTTTGCTGTATGTACAGTATTTAACATGCACCATGTGTAGATTCTGATTCCGGCCTTCTGTGGACTGCGTAAGGAGCTTGTAGGCTGCGAGAAATCACTTTACTGCACCAAACCAGAGGACGATTCAGACACCAACAGCGTTTGGCAAATGGTCTACACTCAAAATCACTCAAAGTAACTGCATCAGCTTCTACGTTTGGTGCTGCTCGAATCTAAATTGTTCTTGGACTGTCTACGATTTTTTACGGTTGATTTGCAGGACACGACAGGCTACACCGTAAAGGAGAAGGCTCTGCCATGCGGTGCCAATGTGTAGTTGAACTTGCTGGCCAGAGTACAGAAAATCCTGATGACAAGTCGGTCACTCTTGGTCAAGTGGGTTAGCATGGCTCAGCAAAGGAATGTGTTTTGATCCCTAGAGCATCCCTAGAGCACCTGAGCAGGCACTTTACTGCGCACGATTTCAAAGCCGATGTAACCTGTGCAGAGGGCGGCCTAGCTGCAGATCATTCATCCAAGACCTTCACAATCGCGAACGGTGCTGAATTGGCCATTTGACTTCAGGATCATAGGATATCGTAGGATATCGTAGGATATCGTAGGTATTTGCGGGTATTTGCAATATGTGCATTTTGGCCACCCTGTAATTATGTATTGAAACACTGAACTGAGGCTATGCCGGGGAGCCAAAGGTTGAGCCATGCTCTGCAGACCAAGCGCTGGAAGCTGAGATGTTGCCACTTTCCGGTGTCATCTACTGCTTGAAGGTTCTTCCAGTGTTCGATGTCAGCTTGGTGTATTGATTGAACATATTGAACGGTCATTAAAGGATATTGACAGATAAAGGTATTTACAGTCAAATTTCAACGTTATAGTTACGGGAATAGTGCTAGAGAGCTACGGTGTTGTCAAGGATGAAACGAACCGACTTTGCAAGCTTCAATCATTTTGCTACACCTTGCATCAGGCCCTACACGTTGTCCGGCTGTGAGAAAGTCATCCTTTGCTTGACTCCGGAGAATACTGAGGGCTATGAGGCCACAAAGGGCTGCAGATTGATTTGTCACACTCTGCCGCTCTCAAGGTGACGCCATGTGCATGTCCTGCATGCTCCGTGCAAGTAGTTTTTGAGCTGATAGGTTACTGAAAATTCCCTTGAGAAGGGAACCTTCAGCGTGACCGGGCCTTGGCAAACCCTGATATCCCTTGGGCAATTGCTGGTAGATATCTTCAGCATTGCCTCATTTTACTGGCATCAAGTGTGACGTCATTGCATTGCCCAAGGAGTGCCAAATGTGGACTTGGCTACATTGGCGAAGCGCAAGTGAAAGCCTGTGCGGACGGAGTACCTTATGCGCTCAGAGGATGTGCTGCTTGGACAGGAACCAGTTCAAAAATAGCACACTAATATATATATATTAGTGATATTATATATATATATTATAGTTGTACTATATATATGATATAGGTGTGTATATATATATTTATGTAATATATGTTATAATATATATATAATATATATATACATATTATGTTATATTATATATATTATATTATATATGTTATGTATATTGTATATATATATTATATTCATTATCTTTATTATATATCATATATATAATATATTATATTATATATATTATATATGTTATGTATATTATATATATTATATTCATTATCTTTATTATATATATGATGTGTAATACATATATATATGAGGAAGTATTATCTATGTTATATATACATATATTATGTATTATATATCATACTATATAGAATACTATATATTTTATTATATATTATATTATTGATTATATTATATATCATATCATATATGATGTTATATCATATATTGCATTATATTATATTATATTATACTGTATGATATTATATTTTATATATTATATTTTATATATTATATATTATGAATATTGTGAATATATATCTATATATACATATACACATGTTTATAGCAATATACATATATATCTATATATATATTTATTTACACATATATATATATACATACCTATATATATATATACATACATATCTATACATATATATATACGTATATATATACATATATATATACATATATATATATATACATATCTACATATATACATATATACATATATATATACATACACATATATACATATACACATATATACACATATATACATGTATATATATATATACATACATACCTACATACACACACGTACATTACATACATTACATCCATTCATACATATACATACATACATTACATACATTACATACATTACATACATTACATACATTACATACATTACATACATTACATACATTACATACATTACATACATTACATACATTACATACAGGACAAATGTCCAGTACTACACCATACATACCCATAACATACACATCATACACATACATCACACATACTCACACATACATACATACATACATACATATTACATATTACATATTACATACATTACATACATTACATACATACATACACACATACGCACATACCCACATACCCACATACAGACATACAGACATACAGACATACACACATACACACATACACGCATACACACATTACACACATTACATACATTACATACATACATACATACATACATACATACATACATACATACATACATACATACATACATACATACATACATACATACATACATACATACATACATACATACATACATACATACATACTGCGAATAGAGTGTAAGCTACGGACCAATGTACATTATTACATATTTCACTCTAAGACTCGAAGCCAAAGGGTTGCAACAATCGCCCTTTTGGCTCAAGGACCCACTGCAGGAACAGAGAAAAGGAACGCCATGCGGAAGCTGTCGTCGTTGTGAAGCCATCATTGGAACAACAAACATCAACATCAATCACAGGAACATAATCGGGTAGGCAATCCCCGATTCGCAGGTTATCAGCCGTAGGACTCCTACGGAGCCTACGAGCGGGTAGCCGCGGGCCTTACAGATGACTGAACAGGATAGCAGCGATAATGCATTTTCTTTCTCTGGACATGCCGTTGCACCAGCTGCCGGCACGCAGTCAAACTCTTCACAGAGTATCGACACTGGTGGAAGCGATGCCTCAGAACTGAGAACAAGCCAACCCAGGCGACATCTGGTTGCTCCAAGAGGGAGACAAATTTCGACAATGCAAGCAATTGAAGATAGAGACAGCACACCTGGAAAGAGAAGATCATCTGCACGACAATTGTCGCCTCCGATGACTCCGAGGACTAAGGCAAAGACTACGTCGTCGAATCCGCCTTCACCGATTCAGGACGCTACTCCATCAGGGACAGGATCTTATCAACAAGTGAACGCCCCGTCAAGTGGTAGCGACATCTTCACTGCCTATCAAAGTGAATTATCTGAATACAAGACATCACTGGAAAGAGCCACTGAAGAAGAATCTGTACTTCAGGCAAGACTGAGCGAGACGACAGCATATGCCTATCAACAATTTAATTTCCTGGAAAGCACCACTCATCAAGAGATGATGTCGATGACCGAACAACTTCAGATGCTGAACTTCGAGTTACAGGCTGCACAACAAGAAGATGAAGGTGCAACCTACAGGATCCAAGAGTTGGAAAGGTATCAGACTATGTCGAATGAAGCTGCATCTCATTTGGAATTCAAATATTCACGACTACGTTCGGAATTCGATGAACAAATGGGACAAGCGAGCGCAATTATGGTACATGTGGGCGCTGATGCGAATGCTCACATCAATCAACTCAGACTGGAACTGGAAAACGCAGAGATGAATGCCAAGCAAGAAGCTCTTGCGGTCGGCTACGCTAACGACCAAACATGTGCTTTACAGATCGAGATGCTCGAGGTTGCTAATCAGAACCAGACGATGAAGCACACCATGGCCATGAATGTTAGACGACTGGAGACTGAGCTCGATGCTGCTGACATGAAGAGGGACGAGATCATGAAGGAGTTCCGTAGTAACATAAGATCTGAACATGACCGTTATGCAGAATGTGAACATCACTTAGCTTTGGAAGAATCACAGCTTCGATTGCAGGTGATCCATAATGAGAACTTACAATCTCGACTAGCGATTTCTGAGAACAGGGTTTCTGAAGAATCTCTAGCTGAACCAGGCGGCATGCGGGACATGAGGATAATGGGACTACGTTCTGAATTACACATGAAACAAAGTCTTTTAGATCGAATGCAACAGCAACTGACTGAATCGAAGAATCAGTATCATGAACTTTCCTGTCAACAAGCCAGAAGATCTTCACCAAGCAGAATCGCATGGAAGACCTCTATACGAGATGTACATGCAAGCCGTGCGTGAACGTGACAGCTTGAAGGAATCCAAGGCTGAAGTTGACAAGTTGTACTTACAGAACAAATCTGAACTCATTGACACTGAGGACCTGCTCAAAGTCTTCCAGCGAAACTTTGATGAAACTGGTAAGAAATATCAAGATGCTCTGAACAAGATCGATCACATGAGCAACAATCCGAATGTGACGAGTAACTTGTTCGACAGTTTGCACAATGAAATCAATGACAGGGACACAGCTATTGCTCGCCTTCATACTGAACTTGAAGCCCAAAAGGATTCTCTTGAGCGTGCTCACAGGGATGCAGGTAAGTCCATCAAGATGTTGAACGACAGAAGACTCGTGATCAAAGGTGCGACCGACTATTCCATTCCCGAAAGCCATTTGACCGAGATGCATCAATTGGCCAATGAGCGTTTCGCTGAGGTAGAAGAGATGTCGAGCACTATTGCTGCCCTGAAGTTGGAAAACCAAGCTCATTCTTCTTCATCAATGAATAGACCGACTACATTACATGGGTACCCCAGTAATGCTATGCCTCGGAATGAATGTGAAGAGAAGTGTGCCAAACTGAAAGCAGAGTTGGACGAGATGAAGCAAGAGAAGAACAATGAAATCCGAAGTCTTCAAGATGAGTTGAAGAAGATGGAAGATCGGAAAGATTATTACAAGAACAATTTCTCTCAAGCTGAAGATCGTGCCAATGATGAAGAGCAGGAATACCGAGCAGAAGCTGAAGCCTTCGAGAAGCTCAGGAACGAGTACAACACCAATGTCAAGGAGTTGGAGAACCTCGAAAGGGATAGATCCAAGTCATCCGTATCTTTAAGAGAAGCCGAAAAGATCAGCCTCCAACCCTGGCCTAAGACCACTGAACTTTCATCATGGAAGGGAAGTGTTGTTCATGAAGTTTGCGTTGCAAGTGGAGATCGAAACTATGAAGATTGGAAAGCGTGGCTTGCTCCATGTCTTGCAGATCAACCTGACTTGGAGACACTGGCCAAAGCTCCTGATGTGAGATTCCAATCCATTGATGCCAAGCTCTCCAATGCCTTGAGAAAAGTCATTGACAATGCTGGGGATAAGTCCATGCAAGTGAAGTATGACATGTCCATGAAGAACCAATTGTATGGGAGAAGTGGGGACTTCATCAAGGGACGAGAACTATTTGCAATGATATTAATTAGCTTCAAGTCACCTGACCATACTGAAGTTCTCTACAATGCCCATCATTTGTATATGTTCAACTATTATGGAGATGATCAGCTTGAGGCTTTCTACAACAAATGGCTTGACATCGTATACAATATGAAACATGATGATCTGCCTTCCAACAATTCCCTGCGTGACACATTGTTCCGGAAGATTGAACATTCAAAGCTTATGGCCTTCGATATCAACCGATACAAAACCTTTGATGAAGGACATCCTGAGAAGACCTATGCTTACCTAACTGGTATGATCAAAGGATACATAGCACGAGGGAAGCAAGAACGACTGTTGAAAGATAGAGAACGTGCAGTGAAACTGTCATTGTCCTCTAACAAGACGACACCTGCCCTAGAAGATGCAGACAAGCCTGCCGCTCCCGTCAAAACCAAGAAGGAGAACGAAGCAGCCGCATCGTCTACAGGTGATCCTCCCAAACGTCCTAAGGCGAAAGCGAAGAGTGAAGCTGCATCAGTACTTCCTACACCTTCTCCGAAGTCCCATGCCGACAAGAACAACAAGAAAGGCAAAGGTGGGAAGGGAAGATCATCTTCACCCGTGGACAAGAAGAAGATTTTCTGTAACTATTTCTTCAATAAAGGAGGATGCAACAAAGGTGACAAATGTCTTTACAGTCATTCTCAAAAGGTCTATGATGCCAAGATGAAAGGTAAGAAAGGCAGGAGCGGAAGTCGAGATTCATCAAGAGGGAAAAGTAGAGGAAGTTCGTCTTCAGCTGGACCCAAAAAGAAGGTATGTTGGAATTGGCAAGAGGGTACCTGCAAGTTCGGAAGTAAATGTAAATTCCTACATGCAGATAAATCGCCTTCAGC